TTCTATCTATCGTTTGTTTGTTTTATCTATCGTCCTATTGATTGTTCTGTCATTCATTCTACAGTATTTATCATTCATTCTATCTGTCTGTTCTAACATTCTACCTATCCTTCTATCATTCAGATAGGTCCATCCTTCAATCTATTCGTCTGTAGTTCTGTCTCTATCGTTCGTTCTATAAATATTTCTGTCGATTGTTCTGTTATTCATTATGTCATTCTATCTATCTATCTATCTATCTATCTATCTATCTATCTATCTATCTATCTATCTGTCTGTCTGTCTGTCTGTCTGTCTGTCTGTCTGTCTGTCTGTCTGTCTGTCTGTCTGTCTGTCTGTCTGTCTGTCTGTCTGTCTGCCTGCCTGCCTGCCTGCCTGCCTGCCTGCCTGCCTGCCTGCCTGTCTTCGTTCGTTCGTTCGTTCGTTTATTCATTCATTCATTCATTCATTCATTCATTCATTCATTCTATCTCTCTGTCTGTTGTTATGTCATTCTCTGGTATAGCTCATTTAAACAGTTCTATTATTCAATAGTTCTATCTATCCATCTGTAGTTCTGTCTGTCGGTCGGCCGGCTATTTATATTTCTGTCGATTGTTCTGTCATTCATTCTATCTATTTGTCTGTTTTTCTATCTGTCTCGTTCATTCATTCATTCATTCATTCATTCATTCATTCATTCATTCATTCATTCATTCATTCCGCCAATGTTGTTATATCATTCTAGCATTTTCCTATTCTTTCCTATCTTCATTCACATAGTTCTATTCTTCAATAGTTGTATCTGTCTTCATCTGTGGTTCTGTCTGTTTTTTTGTTTTGTTTGTTCCTTCAATTGTTCTGTCATTCATTCTATCAGTTTTTCGTTCATTCTATCATTTTGTTGTTCTGTCACTCATTCTGTCTATTTTTCTGTCTTTATGTCTGTTTGTTTCTTTCTTTCTTTGTTTCTTTCTTTCTTTCTATCGATCTATCTATCTCTCTGACTGTTGTTATATCAATCTATCATTCCACCTATCCTTCTATCATTTAAATAGTTCTATCCTTCAATAGTTTTATCTATCCATCTGTAGTTCTATTTGTCTGTTGTTTGTTTTATTGATATTTCTGTTGATTATTCTATTGTTTTTGTTCATTCTATCATTCTGTTTATTCTGTTGTTCTGTTAACTTTTTGTCTGTCTGTCTGTCTGTCGTTCATTTGATCTATCATTCATTCTTTCTGTTATATCATTTTACCATTTTACCTATTTTTCTATCATTCAAATAGTTCTATCCATATATTCATCCATCCATATACCCGCCAATCCATATTTTCATCTATATATCCATCCATCCATCCATTCATCCATCCATATACCCATCCATCTATCCATCCATCCATATATCCATCTATATATCCATCCATCCATCAATCCATCCATGCAAACACGTAACCATCTATCTATCTATCTATCTATCTATCTATCTATCTATCTATCTATCTATCTATCTATCTATCTATCTATCTATCTATCTATCTATCTATCTATCTATCTATCTATCTATCTATCTATCTATCTATCTATCTATCTATCTATCTATCTATCTACTCATCCATCCATCCATCTATTGCTCTGGTCCATAAATCCATCCTTCTTTTCATCCATCATTTCATCCTTCATTTCATCCATCCATCATTTCATTTCATCCATCCATCCATCCATCCATCCATCCATCCATCCATCATTGCAGCTACCAGTCGTAATAAGTAGTTCTGTTGTTCATTCATTCATTCATTCAGTGATTATAACTGTCACATATTTGTTTTTTCATTCTGTCATTCCATCAGTCATTATAACTGTCATTCTATCGGTCTATCAATTGTCATAACTAGTTCTATTGTTCCATCGTTCTGTCTGTTTTGACGTTCTCTCTCTATCCTTCATTCTATAATGGTCTTTAGCTGTCTAATAATCACCGCAGACTTGATTTCTGTACATTCCAGAGTGTCTGAACAGCTCATTTATGGCTGATCGCTTTGTCTCCAGATCCCAGTAAACAGACACTTATTTTGTAGTACAGAAACCAGCGTTTATTAATAATTCAAGAGTTCCCCATTTTAAATCCATTAAATGAACGCGAATCAAACGCAGACTGATTTAATCATCTCTTATTGGATGAAAACGTCAACACAATTCGCAATACAATGCAAATGCCTCTTTCATCTAAATCCTGTATTAATACACACAAAACATAAGCCCATGCCTTTGTGTTTGGTCAGCAAGTGGCAGTCTTTTATCGCCCTCTTGTGGACACTGACTTTATCGCTCTGTAAAACGTGTACTAACATGGAGTGACAAATATGCTCTGCGATGATTTGATGGTTATTGCCACTTTAGAATGAAAAACGATCTCCCACAGTCGTTTCTCTCACACATGTAGATTTATCATGATGTGTGTTTCTGTGTGCAGACAGGAAGCTGTTTGTGGGGATGTTGGGGAAACAGCTGTCAGATGCTGATGTCAGAAAAATGTTCGAGCCGTTCGGGAGTATAGAGGAGTGTACAGTACTCAGAGGACCTGACGGAGCCAGCAAAGGTGCCCTATACATCTATGCTGTATATATATATTTCTCCCAATTTTTGTTTACCTTAAAGAAGATTTGTTTTCAGCAGATTTCTAAACATAATAGTTTTAATAACCAATAACAATAACGATTATAATTTTGACTGTATATACATATATGGTTTTTGTTATTTGTTTATTTATTTTATTTAATATTATTGTTATTATGTAACATGTCATATTTTATTAGTAGTAAAATAAATAATAAACATTAATATTTATATCTAAAGCTTTAATATTAATATTTTAAAGCTTAAAAAGAAATGGATAATTAGTTAATATATTTATTCTAATTAGTATTGTATTATAAGTAATAAAAAACATAAAATAATTCATATTGTTATTCATATTCATATTTTTATAAAAAGTTATTGTTGTTGTTATTATTTTTGTAGATTATTAATGTAATAAAATTATGATAATTTATTTCTATATTATTATTTATATTTTTATTTTATGAATTGCTTCAATAGAATCATTTGGAAATTTGTTTGATGTATATTATTATTATTATTATTAAGTTATTATTATTATATATTATTAATGTATTAATTATGAATACTTATTCTAGTGAACCCCATTATGCATTTTATTATTGAATCCTTTTTTAATAATACTAATTAATAAGAAAAAATTAAGACTGATAATTTAAAAAAATGTTGTATTTATTTAATTTGTTATAATTAGCATTTTTAATGTTGAATTCCGTTTATATTCCAATAATAATAATAATAATACCAGTAATAATTTTGACATCATCTATATATACTATTATTATTATTATTATTATTATTATTATTATTATTATTATTATACACTTATATATCAATAATAATTATAAAGTTTTATTTTTTGTTATTTACGAATTAATTTATTATATTTATTTATTGTTAATGTGTAATCTGCATTAATATTTTACTATTAGTAAAAGAATGAATAATTAATAAAAGCTTTGAAAAAGGAATTTATACTTATTGAATTAATTCTGATTAGTATTGTATTATACGTATTTAAATAATAACTGATAAAGTACTATAAATATTTATTTCTTGTTATTCTAGTAAACATCATGGATATGTGTTATCTATGTAATATTATTTATATATTATTGTTTTATTGTTATTATACGAGCTGCTTTAATAGAGTCAATAGTAAATTTTAAAATTTAATTCATATTTTTATTATTAAAATTATTATTATAATAGATTATTAATATATTAATTATGAATACGTATTCTAATGAACCCCATTTTGCATTTTATTATTGAATAAATTTTGTAAATAATACTAATTAATAAGAAAATTAATACTGATAAAATTAAACAATTTTAATTCCTAATTCCATTCATATTCTACTTATAGATTTATTAGATAAGATTTTAAGCTAATTCTTTTAATCAGAGCCAAAGTATTAATGATTTAGCATATTTCAAATCATTATTGAATTATAATGAATAAATATCAACAATTATTTTAATGAGGACTCTTAAAATAATTATTATTCTTTTCTCATTTATTTATTAATTAATTTAATTTATTCATTAGCATTTCTTGTAATGTAAGATAGTTTAACTAGATCTTATGTCTGTTTTTATTGAAATTCCCTTATTTTTTAGATGTTTTTTAGTTTTTATACCAGATTTTTTTTTTACAGATATTTTCATTGATAATTTAATTTAATAATATTATAGTATTAATAAAATAATGATTAGCATTTTTTCCTAAGATCTTCTTTCTGTTGTTGATTACTAATCCTTTAGTAATTAACCCTCGTTTTCACAAACTCACATTCTCACCATTGATGGCATCAGACAGTGTAAATATAAATCATTACAGATAAATAGATTTAAAGGCTCTCCAGTTGTCTTGGCTCTTTGACTGGGACCGCAGACAATAGAAACACATCTGTAGCATCACTATAGCAAAACAGCAGCAGGGCCTGTTCACTCATGCATGTGTGTGTTGGCTAATGAATGATTGTCGGTTCGGCACAGGCTGTGATTTATAAAGTGATGGATGCGTGTATGTGTGTGTGCGCGCTCTGGGTAATTGCGTGTGAGTGTGAATGGAACAGATGCACCTGCTGTAGTAAATCATTAACCGTTTCACTTTTAACTCGGCCATATGTACAGATGGAGGCCTTGCGAAATAATGGAACAAATCTCAGTTTGTTGCTTTTGGTTTCATTTGTCACACGGGGCGTCACCGTCAACGCTTCCCATTCACTTTGAATGGGTGACGTTGGGCGTTGCCGAACTGCATTGTGGATCCGTCGGCACCGCTTCAGAAGCGTTGCTCGCTGCAGAAGTTGGGACTAGCTCAACTTTTCAAGCGCCAATGGAAGCGTCAGCCAATCAGATCACTGTTTGCAAATACACCAGCTCAGACAGTGATATGACAATCGCTTTAGCCCCAACTTCAGACACACCTTCAGTCAAGCGTTGACGCTGAAGCCCCGTGTGAACGGGGCGTTAGGGATTCATCAGAATACACAACAAAAATCAGTGCAAAATAAAAATATTATAAAATTTATCAAATATTAAAAAGCCTTATATAAAAAATTAAAAAGCCTTTATTGACATGGCTTTACCTTAAAATTTGCCTTCATCAGGGTAACAGTGATCAGGTTGGTCTGGAGTTTCTTTTGAATACCATGGTCTCATGACTCTCTAGAATATCTAAACAATACTAAAACAATATATTGAACACAAGGTCAACTCAATGATCATTTTTAATTCAACATTGAGAGAGGGAGAAAAAAAATAATAAAAAAAATTTGTGGAAAAAAAAATCTAAAAGATGATGAATGTTGTACAACATATTTCTCAAATAATACAACGTGGATGAATATAGAATGAAACCACAAAAATATGTATATATAGACAAATAAACTAGTATAGTGTACAAAATAAACACACATGAACATGCATGCTACATATACATATATACATAAATACATACATATAAAAAGATATTCAACAATATGTAATGAAAGTCTCTAGAACATATACTTTTTTTGTATTACAAAAAAGGAGGAAAATTTAATTCGCCATTTAAGCCTGGAAGTCTAGTCGCTTTTAGTATGTAGATCCAAAAAAATCTCTCACTGTTTTAATCTTTTTATCCTCCTTTTTTTAGCCTCCTTCCCTTGTAGAATTAAAATATGCTCTATACCAACTGTTTTAATGAACTGAGATTGCCTTGACCTTAATTTTTATAATGTAAAGCCATCTATTAGGGAAAAGCAATGTACATAAAGGCTTTTAAATATTTCTCCACATTTTTCGAGTGCCTGGGACTGATTTTTGTTGTGTAAATTACAGTAGTTTAGTAGTTGTTGGGTTTGGGGCTGACATGCAATTAAAAGTTTTCCTTAGGATATTATACTATACTATACTGTACTATACTGTAGATTTTTTTCTTCTGAAGAAAGTCTTATTTGTTTAATTTCAGCTAAAATAAAAACAATTTTGAATAAAAAATAAACAAACATTTTAAGGTTAAAAGTATTAGCCTAATCTTTGCCTAATTATTTCCTAACATATTAGCTCTACAGAACACTAATAATTATGACTTCAACTGTACACATATTTGCTGAATTAATGATGAAAATAAATATTCTGTCAGAACCTTAGATTTTATATGCAAACTAATAAACAAAACAAGCTTTGTTTTGAGAAAACAACTACAAAGAAAATAGAATTTTTAAGATGGTTTTATCCACTATTCAAATTTTTTATGCCATACATGTATGTAGTGAGTGGTGCAGTGGGTATTGCTGTCGCCCCACAGCAAGAAGGTAACTTTTTCAAGCCTTGGCTGGGTCAGTTGGCGTTTCTGTGTGGAGTTTGCTTGTTCTACCCGTTGTTCCAGATGGAAGGGCATCCGCTGAGTAAAACATATGCTGGATAAGTTAGCGGTTCATTCCAGTGTGGTGACCACTGATGAATAAAGGAACTAAGCCGAAAAGAAAATGAATGAATGAATGAATGTAGTATTGCACATTTAATTAACTGTGCAAGTATGTTGACTAACTTGGATGGGTCATTTTTGTTAGTTTTTTTCGCCTGAAGTGTCTTACCTTAAAAGCACAGTTCACTCAAAAATAAAAATGTAATCTCCATTTACTCTTTCTTCTTATTTTTCTTTACGTCAAACCAAAAAGAAGATAGTTTGAAGAATGTCAGAAACCTGTAGCCATCGACATCTTTAGTAAGAAAAAAATACTTTGAATGTCAGTGGTTTTTAACATTCTTCATAGTATCAAGAACACAAGAAAGAAACTTAAAAAGTGCACAATTAAATAATGCATCATTTGCATGCATTCACTCATTCATTCGTTTTCTTTTTGGTATATTCCATTTATTAATTCGGGGTCGCCACAGCGGAATGAACCGCCAACTTATCCAGCATATGTTTTAGGCAGCGGATGCCCTTCCAGCTGCAACCCATCTCTGGAAAACATCCATACACACTCATTCACACTCATACATTACGGACAATTTAGCCTACCCAATTCACCTGTACCGCATGTCTTTGGACTGTGGGGGAAACCGGAGCACCCGGAGGAAATCCACGCGAACGCAGGGAGAACAAACTCCACACAGAAACGCTAACTGACCCAGCCGAGACTCGAACCTGCGACCTTCTTATTGTGTGGCAACAGCACTACCTACTGCGCCACCGCGTTCATTTGCATATTTAAGTAAAACATTTTAGAAAACTTTGAAAAATGATAACAATTCCTTCTTTGTTGGGGAAATATGTAGATATTAGATATTTATTACCTTTTCCCCCTGCAGTGTCTTGCCTTAAAAGGACAGTTCAACCAAAAACAAAAATGTAATCTCCATTTACCTATTCCTCAAGTTACTCCAAACCTGTTTTTTTTAAAAAAAATTTTAACCTTTGTTTTTTTCTTTACGTCAAATCAAAAAAAAAAAAAAAATTGTTTGAAGAATGTCAGAAACCTGTAGCCACTGACATTCATAGTAAGAAGAAAAAATACTATGAATGTCAATGGTTACCAGCTTCCAACATTCTTCAAAGTATCTTCTTTTGTGTTCAAGTGTAAAGTGAATTATTACAGAATATTCATTTTTGTTTGAGCTGTCCCTTTAAATACTCCCACATGATGAAGCTTCGTTTTTCAACTCTAAATGTCAAACGATGTGTTTGTGCTTTCGCAGGTTGTGCGTTTGTAAAATATCAGAGTAACGCAGAAGCGCAGGCGGCCATCAGCGCTCTCCACGGCAGCCGAACTCTCCCGGTTAGTGTTTGGCATTCAGGATTCCTCCCACAATCACGCACAATACAGCCACAGCATTGTTCACACATTCACACTCGCTCTTTGTTATGTTTTTTTGTTTTAACTTCACCCACTGCATATTTAACCTCCAGACTCCTCAGTTTCTCTTATTTGAGTGCGGATTTCTCTCTCTCTCCCTCAGGGTGCTTCTTCTAGTCTGGTGGTGAAGTTTGCAGACACGGAGAAGGAGCGAGGGATCAGGCGTATGCAGCAGGTGGCCTCTCAGCTGGGCGTCATCAGTCCCATGAGCCTCCACCTGGGCGCCTACAACGCCTACACACAGGCAGTGAGACACCGCACCACACAACACCATAATCTAATGCTGCAATATACAATACTTCAGAGTTTCCCAGCCCTGTTCCTGAAGGCACTCCAACAGTACATATTTTGGATGTCTCCCTCATCTGACCCATTCATTTCAGGGTTTGCTGTCTCTTCTAATGTTTTAACTGTGTGTTTGATTAGGAAAAGGTTGAATATGTGTATTGTTGGTGTGCCTTCGGGAACAGGGTTGGGAAACGCTGCAATACTGTGCAAATGTCTTAGGCCACAGTTACTTCCATTAAGTGTCATTTGCTCAGTTATGTCATTTTAAATGTAATGGTGACATTGTTTGACATGTCTGTTGTTGTTATGTTACATCATAACCTGTCTTTGGCATGAAACGTGACATTAGTTACACAAAAAAACTCATGAGGCCATTACAATCATCAAGGTTTCAGGGCAGTCTTATGAACACGCTCTTCCAGTATGTAGTAAGTGTTGCCATTATCAAACTACAATAGGCATACTAGCTTGTCCATCATGGAATTTAAATGTACTAGGATGTAGTTTGAAAACACTTTGGAATGAAGTTTAACCGGGCTTAAAGCAATGACTGGAGGCTGTGTTGGGTTCGGTACCAAAAATACTTTCATAATTACTTTGCGCTCTGCAAAATGGGAATTCCTTATTGGAATGGTTTGGCATAATAACCTCAGTTCAACCTCTGAACAGGACTCCAACTCACAGTTTAAAGGGACCGTTTACCCAAAAAATGGGAGTTACCTGCCATTTACTCACTCTCAAATAGTTCCACACTTTTTCTGTTGCACAAATAAGAAGATATATTGAGGAATGCTGGAAACCAGCAGCCATTGACTTCTATAGTCGGAAAAAACATGGCTTCCAGTTTCCAACATACCTCAGTTTATCTGAAACTCAAACAGGTTTGCAAAAGGTGGCATGAGAGTAAACAATGACAAACTACATTTTTGGCTGAACTTTGCCTTTAATATTTAAAAGCCCTATTGTCCAAATCTTTGGATTAACTTGTTAGTTTTTCCTCTTCTAGATTCTGACACTCAGATCTACTTAGCCTTACTGCCTAATGACTACAGCCCCATTGACACCTTCTGCCAATGCATTGATGAAATCAACAATTGGATGTGCCAAAATTTTCTTCAGTTAAACAAAGAGAAAACTGAAGTCATTGCGTTTGGGAACAGAGATGAGGTTCTCAAGGTGAATGCGTACCTTGGCTTTAAGGGTCAAACAACAAAAAATAAGGTCAAGAATCTTGGTGTGACTCTGGAGTCAGATCTGAGTTTTAACAGTCATGTCAAAGCAGTTAGTAAATCAGCATACTATCATCTCAAAAATATTGCAAGAATTAGATGCTTTGTTTCCAGTAAAGACTTAGAGAAACATGTTCATGCTTTTATCAGCAGCAGAGTGGATTACTGTAATGGTCTCCTCACTGGCCTTCCCAAAAAGACAGTTAGACAGTTGCAGCTCATCCAGAATGCTGCGGCCAGGATTCTGACCAGAAGCAGGAAATCAGAGCACATCACACCTGTCCTCAGGTCTCTACACTGGCTCCCAGTTACATTCAGAATAGATTTTAAAGTATTATTACTGGTCTATAAATCACTAAATGGCCTAGGACCTAAATACATTACAGATATGCTCACTGAATACAAACCCAACAGATCACTCAGATCTTTAGGATCATATAAACTAGAAATTCCAAGAGTTCAGTCAAAGCAGGGTGAATCTGCCTTCAGCCACTATGCCCCTCGCTGTTGGAATCAGCTTCTAGTAATGATCAGATGTGCACCAACATTAGGCATGTTCAATCAACACTGAAAACACATCTGTTTAGCTGTGCCTTTACTGTATGAGCACTGTGCTGCGTCCAACAGATTGCACTATTATGTTTTTTCGTTTTCTTTTTCATTCTTTTATAACCTATTTTAACACATTTTGAATTGTTTTTATTTGTTTTTAAATCATTTTTATTGTCTGCATTTTATATCCTAAACTTGTCTTTTTTATTCCTGTTTATGTAAAGCACTTTGAATTGCTACTGTGTATGAAATGTGCTATATAAATAAACTTGCCTTGCCTTGCCTTCTCATCAGCTTGTCCAGCAGCAGGCGTTGGTGGCTCAGTCTGCATATCTGTCTCCGGTTGCGACGGTTGCGGCAGTACAGATGCAGCAGTTGGCAGCTCTCAACCCCAGCAGCATCATCGCTACACCCATTGCCTCAATCACGCCCTCCTCAGGTACATCAACATCAAAAGGGTCCAAAATGGTGTCTATTATTTTTAAGTTCTGTTTACACATGGCATTAAAAGTTCTGTAAAGTGCTTTGAAATGTGTATCTTTATTCAATGTTTGGCGTAACTCAACTGAAATATGAATACAGGGTGGGACACAGAGTAGCTCCTCCCCTTTTATTAACAGCCAATAGCGTGTTGTTTTTATCACCGCTCTGCCGGTGAAAGAGGTTAAGATCAAGCGAATTAAATGAAAAGCAAATGAGAAGCGTTCTAAAGGGTGCAGGGCATGTCAGATATTCGAGAGCATTTGATTGGATAGAAGATTTGATGAGAGACTGAAGTAAAAAATCATTGATTCATTTAGGCGGAAGTGACAAACTGCAAGCTTTGGATGTTTACGTCTTCTGTTTTGTTGCACATTTGATTTTAGATATTATCAAGACTAACGTACTGATACTAACATCTAAAAAACTTTAACATCTGTTTTTGTTAATCTGATCACAAGTAGACAAAGGTTGTGTTTACTATTGTCCAATTTTAACTGTGTACATTGAGGGGAGGGGCTGTGGGCGGATTCTGAATGCTTTGGTTGGACCTCGAGGGAAGGTTTAAACACACTTGCATGTTAATGCGCACTTATTTTACCTTTACAAAAGATATTAAACTCTGCAAAGCTTAAATCCTATTTGAAAATTGTGATTCTCGATGCTACACAATTGACCCTTCGCTAAACCACACCCAAAAAAACGTCACCCACCAATCATGGCTTAGCAACCGTAGCTACATGCAGGAGCTCTGTCAAGCTTTCGAGCGAGGGAAACAGGCCAAAGTGTTGTACCCGGTATCCTAAAAGTTTGGACAGTGTGGTGAATTTTTTTTCCTTTTCAAAACTTTGAACCCAAGGGGAGAAATGCCAGCGTGGATCAAGCTCTGTGAGGGGCGCTAAAGGAGCGGAGTTAAGTTGGTTTTGTTTTCGACATTCACATTCAGTAATAGACCTACGGCAATAACTCACACACCTCTTACCCTAAACAGATCTAAACTGTGTTTCCTACAAAAATGCATATGTTTCACAGCTGTCTTTTCCTTTTTTTTCACTCAATATTATGAGCACTGCTCCGTTTAAGCCTTCGCCATAGTAGTCATGCAAATAGCAATCATATTTCCATCTGTTTCAAGCTACGAATATTTGAAATTACATATCAATAGAACAAAACCGAGATGTGATCACAAACTGAGCACTTGCGATCAACATACTTCACCCGCTGCTGTTTTTCAGTCATTTATAAGCCTCATTTCCAAGTCAGAGCTACAGTTCACCGATGTTTTCGTCTGTTTTATGGAGATTAAGTTATTGATGACGATGTTATAGCTGGTTAGTGTTAGAGTTTCCTCGTCGGTTAGTAACGCTTTATTTCATTGCACAATTAATATATCAGGTTTTTTGGCTAAAAAACAGAAATCACGGTTTACTTTGTTATTATTAGATTATTTTTAAATTTCACCTGTCCTGTGCATGAACTGAGCTGTTGAATGGTCAGCATATGAGGTGGCTAGGCTAACCTAGCTTCAATTTTGATTAAGTTATCTTCTAATCAGGTGGTGAATATACCCCTGTAAGGCACACTGCAGTCCTTTTTTGTCGGGCTTTCTCGGATATCTCACCTGTTTGCCAAAAATGACTAATTATATCCCTGGGAATGTCTGACACGGGCGCATAAATATTGTAATAGACGTACCATGCACGAAAGCTTGACTAAGGAAGGCGGGGCTTAGCGAAGGGTCAATTCAAAAAGAGAATTTTTCCTACTTCCTGTTTGGAAATAACATCTACAACAGTGCTTGAAATCGGACAATCGACCTGTGAACTCAGCGAGACGTGCTATTTGTTGTTACTACCAAGGAAGAGACTAGTTCTGCTTAATAATACTATAGATTAGCATTAACATTAAACAACTACTAAACTTTAACACTAAATATTATTAAATATTCCCACTTAAAGATGTGACGTGTGATTGACTGGACCGCATTTAACAGTTGAAATTCTCAGCTCACACTTTCAGTGCGTTCCAAACAGCATATATAACCCTCCAAAGTGCACTTCGGAGTGAAAACAATCATGTCTGCCTATCCGCCATATTGAAATGCACTTTTGAACCACAGTGCTCAAAACTGGCCTCTTCGAAGGGGAAGGATATTGAAGAGTACAACTGATGAACACTTAGGACCCGTATGTTGGTTTGGGCAGCGAAGTTGTTTGGTGTTACACACTGTGCTCAATTTAGAAGGGCTCACGCCTATACCCTAATCCCTTCAAAGCTGTTAAACACTTGTAAGGGGTTAGGGCATAGTGTTGAGTAAAAATGCATGTGTTCAGTCAGTAGGCAGTCATCACGCAAATGCACATCCACACTACTACAGCAGTCCAATAGTATGTGTTTTTGACCACCTCTGGTTGTGGTCAAAGGGGGACTAGCTTAAACCATTTTAGACCCCATGTATTCCTGTACTTGGCATCCTCCACTTGTGATCAGATCGACAAAAGCACATGTTAACTCAGCTGTTGTTTCATTTTGAAAGTGTGTAATTGTGCTGTAGGTACGAGCACTCCTCCAACCATCGCCGCCACACCCGTGCCTGCTCTGCCTCCACCCATCGCAGTCAACAGTTACCCACCGGTCCCTGCAGCGCCCAACGGCCAGTCTGCCTCCGAAGCACTCTACACTAACGGGGTCCACCCATATCAGGGTGAGCAACTTCCTGCAGTCTTTAGAAATATATAATGCTACATTGAATCATTGTTTAGTAAATATATTAATAGTAGTCAATGTTTGAGTATAACAGCATTAGGTTAATGTGTCCTGTAAAATAATAATGACCAGTGCTTGATATTAACACCCGCCAACCTGCCAGATGTGGGTAGATTTTAGCTGTGGTGGGTTAGAGAGCTGCTCCCACTAGAAACTTTGGCTGGATGAAAATCATTTTTCAATTGTAGTTCATTAAGAAGCAGCACGACTGACAAAATAACTGTTCACTTGAGCAAAAGAAAGCAGGTGAATACCGAATGAGAGCAGGTTTTTCACCTGCTTTCTTTTGTTTACAGTTATTTTTTTATTTGTGGTTTAATCATCATCATTTACAATAATATTGCATTAACGGGAGATTAACTTTCCATTTATGTATAGTTAACTGGTGATCTGGGACCTTTAGCCTGGACACACTTCTGTGCATAGTTTTAGATACATGACAATAGTTCTTTTTAAAATGTTATGTTTAAAAAGAAAGGTTTCGTTGAATAAAAATGCAAGTATACAGCTACAGTTGAAGTCAGAATTATTAGCCCCCCTGAATTATTAGCACCCAAGTTTATTTTTTCCCCAATTTCTGTTTAACGGAGAGAAGATTTCTTCAGCACATTTCTAAACATAAGTTTTAATAACTCATCTCTAATAACAGATTTCTTTTATCTTTGCCATGATGACAGTAAATAATATTTTACTTGATATTTTTCAAGACACTTCAATTCAGCTTAAAGTGACATTTAAAGGCTTAACTTGGTTAATTAGTTTAACTAGGCAGGTTAGGGTAATTAGGCAAGTTATTGTATAATGATGGCTTGTTCTGGAAAAAACATAGCTTAAAGAGGCTAACAGTTTTGTCCTTAAAATGACTTTTAAAAAATTAAAAACTGCTTTTAATGTTGCTGAAATAAAAAAAGTTAAATTTCTTCCAGAAGAAAAAATATTATCAGACATACAGTGAAAATTTCCTTGCTCTGTTAAACATAATTTGGGAAATATTTAAAAAAGAAATTAAAAATCAAAGGGAGGCTAATAATTCTGACTCTAACTGTATATTTAGCTTGTTTTAAATTGTTTTATTTATTTAAAAGTTGTAGCTAAGCAATAATGACTTTTTTGTGTATTTATTTTTGGTGTGGCCAGAGAAAAATTTGGTAAATGCTTAATGCTGTGTTTTGAAAAGTCATGTGAAATAGGAACTAATTGCAATGCAACACTGTGAAGCCACAAGCCACTTGCTCCTTGAGCAAAGTCATACACAACACAAAAAAGTGAAACGAATAAGGAGGCTCGTGGACATAACACAAAATCTAAATCAAGTCATTTTAGCATGCTAAAGTCAAAATTCATGCTTATAAAATATATTTCCCAACAACAGAATTGTGGCTAGTGAAAATGCAGAGTGGCTAGTAACGTTGGAAATCTACTATCCACAGTGGCTGGTGATCAAAAAAAATTAATGTCCAGCCCCGATCATGACTATAATAAAAATATTAATGACTAATATGTAATTTCTCTCTAATGATTTACAGAGAACATGCGAAATGTTATTCAGTGTAACTGTGTTTAGTGTCATATTCTCAATAACAAATCTGACAAGTCATATTTACAAAAACTAGTTGATTAAATATTGAAAGACTCTTAAAAGGGATCACACAGCGGCTACATTAAAATGAATCAGCATTTAAATCTGCTTGGTTTCACCCAAATTTCACTAGTGTAGAAATATACTAAAAACTGGGTACAATCAATTATAAATACACACACAATCTAGTGAGTACAGACAGAAGTAAATGTTGTGAATAAATCTATATTACACCAAATAATATGGAGCCAGATCAGTCTCAAAGATAATACATTTGCCTTCATAAATGCACAGCACAATTCATAAATCCACCACTCCAATTCGTAAATTCAAAACTTTCTTTCAAAAATATTTTCTTTTTGGCTTAATGCCTTTGTTATTCAATGGTCGCCACAGAGGAATGAACCACCCATTTATCCAGCATATGTTTTACTCAGCGAATGCCTTTCCAGGTGCAACCCTTCACTGGGAAACATCCATACACACTCATTCACACTCATACACTATGGATAATTTTGCATATTGAACTCACCTATCCTGCATGTCTTTGGACTGTGGGGGCAACCGGAGGAAACCCACGCGAACACAGGGAGAACATGCAAACTCCACACAGAAATGCCAACTGATCCAGGCGAGGCTCGCCTAAAAATTCATGAATCCACATTTAGTAATTTAATCAGAATAATATAGGCTGATAACAATTTAATAAGTGACTTCTATAGCATTATTGTGCTGCATAAGGGGTAAAGCATCTGCATCTGAAAGTTAATAAAATGATAAATGCAACAATTAACGTGGTAAAATTCAATTCAAACATAACATTCTGATCACAGAGGCGATCGACAAAATAATATTCTGAAAATGCCAGCAGGAGGCGGCAAGGGATTGTGTTACTAAACGAGTCACTTATTTATTCGATTTGTTTGAATCAATGATTCGTTCAGTAAGATTTGCTACTGAATGCACTAAATTCAGCCATTCACGAATGACATAAGATCACCGTACTCAATATTACTGATTTATAACGTTAGTATATTTAATTTATGGCTGTTGCATATATATTAGGCCTACACTAAGGTCGAGACTGCTGGTCACTACAAATTCATTCGCTCCATGCTGTGCAGTGTGACAGTTTTACCACGGATTATGAGAACAGATGACTATAAGATGCCTAAGCATGATGAGAGTCTGGATATTTGTGCTAGTTTGTCCAGATAAAATTGCTTATCACACTTTACTCTGACGTTATTTTAATGACAAATGTCTAATAATACTGCTAAAACAATATATTTGGTGGAGCTTCTTGAGTTTGTTCAGTTAGGAGTGTTTTGATTGGTGGATTAAAACTCACCGCAATTGGCTAAACAGAATGTTTTTCAAAAAAAGATGTGTACGAATCACGTCCTGCCAGGAAGGTCTCAAAAATACCGTGCACCAATTCAAAGGACTAAATGTGCATGTGAGCATTTTCAAATGCACATTCAGTGGTTCGTAAATGCATCTAACATAATGCATTGTAATCCAAGAACTTCATATATAAATAATTGTGTACAGATTTGAAATGTATTTAGGGAAGATGCATATGTGTGAGCATTTGAGAAACTTTTGAATTGATGAATTGTGTTTTGAATGTATGAATTGGAGTGGTTGATTTATGTATTGTGCTGTATATTTATGAATTTTATGAATGTATTACTTTTGAGACTGATCTGGCTCCATAAAATAACAGCAGAAAATTGCATAATTATTTCATTAATTACAGACTTTACTTGTATTCTTGACTGCTTTCTATGTACGTAGCGTAAATGTAATTTGATATTTCTATTTTATTCCGATGGACTCATTCTTTTCTTCTTGTCGTTATCGATGTTTTCAGCTCAGAGTCCTGCGTTGGATCCTCTCCAGCAGGCGTATACAGGCATGCAGCACTACACGGGTGAGGCTTCTTGACTCAACAAACTCCATTCGAGACTTGTCAACAGTGAAGAATGTGGCATAAAATACTCCCCCTTTATTTTTTAATAGATTGTATTACAAACAATCTGCTTGGAACAGTTTGGAGCAGTTAAAATCCAATTCAAGAAGTCAATTCAGTGTGGTGAAATTAAAAGTAATTTTCAAATTTGTTATGCTTTTTTATGGCAGAACTGAAGATTTAGATTTCTGGTTTAGAGCCTTTACCAATCTCTTATTAATATTTAATTTTTCTACATGCATTTTAAAAGTAAACTGATGAATAATGATGAAATGAATCACTGAATGAAGTGATTCGTAAATGTGAATTGTTCAATCGAACTGATTTCCCTCAATCAAAGCAGATTCATAACTTTATCAGTAGATATTCTTGCTACAGAAGTTTAATCAAAAAGTATTTTTTTACACCACAAAGGTGGCAAAGAAATCCCTCAGGAAGTTTTTAGTTGGGATATTTTAGGTTTATGCTACAGCGGGGAAAATAAGCAATGAACACGCCATGTTATTTTACTGGCAATAATATTTCTAAAGGAGCTGTTGACATGAAGTTAAACCAGATTTTGGTAAAAACCCAAACAATACAAGCATGAAAATAAAACAAAACAAAAAAATCTGAAAAATGAGTTACTTTATGTGTAATAATGAAATGACACGAGTAGAAAGTACTGAACTACTGAAATGTATTTAATACTTTATAAAAGTTTTTTTTTTTTGGGTGATGGCAGCTTAAAGACGCCTCTCATATGAAGAATGAAGTCACATGAATTCCTCAGGTGTGAGTTTTTCCACACACGTCAACAGAGTACAAAAATCTTGATGGCTCTGTGGGTCTTGTCTATCAAATCTGATTTTTATTTAGTATTTTCTATTGAGTTCAGATCAGGTGATTGGATGGGCCATTCCACAGCTTTATTTTCTTTCTCTGAAACCATTTGAGGGTGGCTATGTTTTGAATCACTGTCTAGCTGAAATGTCCACCCTGGTTTCATCTTCATCATCCTGATAATGTAGATGTTGGACTGAAGCAGCTGATATTACAGTGCTGAAGGGCAGAGGGTAGCTGAGAAAACTAACTACTGAGAGATTTCAGCTGCTGTCTGGGCTTTCACTGCCTTTCTACACCTCCCTTTCTTCATGTGTTCAATACTTTTTCTCTGCGTCATTTCATTTTATTACACAACTTCATTTGTAAACCAATTAGATTGGTTTTCTCTGCATATATGGATTTATTTGGTTGATACCAACATCTGGTGAAAATTTAAAGTCAACAGCACCTTTAGAAATAGGTTTTCTGAGAAAAATGAACTCAATACTTATTTTCCCAGCTGTACATTGCTTCTGTGTGTAATGTACTTTAAGGGGTAGTTGATACAAAAATGAAAATTGTCTCATGATTTGTTCATCATCCTCTGGTTGAAATGCTATTTGTTTGAACACAAAAGAAGATATTTTGAAGAAAGCTGGGAAACTGTATCCATTGATATCCATAGGATTTGTTTTTTCTACCATGGAAGTCTATGGTGACAGGTTTTTGGCTTTCTTTATTATACATAAAACAAATATATTGAAAATAGCATTCAAAATGCGTAATACATATTTATAGTTACTAGTTAATTAGTTATTAGTTGGGTGAGACCAGATCTGCGGACATTTTTTGCTATTTCTGCACAGAATTTTATAAAAAATCTGCAGATTTACAGTAAGCGGATTATACCTTTTATACCTTTTTAACTTTTATTGAATGTTTACAATGCAAATCCAATTAGATCCACTTAATTGGTAAACAAAGCAAGTCTCTTATTAAATATATATACTAAAAGACATTCTTTACAAAATGTATTGTAAGTAAATCATATAAACATTTTCATGTTAGTCAATAATATTGCTGAAATTTATTTAAAAACTGAATAAGTATAAATGTATGCACATTTACACAAGTAAATAAATAGACTCAACAATGGGCTCAAAATCTGCAGATTTCTGCACACAGAGTCCGTGTGGGCCTAGTGAATAATAACTAATGAAGTTATGATAATAACCTTAACTCTTCTGATTTTTATTGAAATGCAGTAATGTGTAAAGCTACTTTGAAACAATAATTATTGTGAAAAGCGCTACACAAATAAACTTGAATTGAATTAAATATTCAAACTAATGTTCAACAGAATAAAGAAACTTAGTGAGTACGCTCTCATCCTTTTAAAAGTGTTTACTTAAATATATTCTATAATTAATTCCTACAATCTGGAGCCCCTAGTGCAATTAAAAAGAAGATGGGAGGTGGAACTAGAGATAGAATTATCTGAAGACATGTGGCAATCCGTTTCAGACAATATTCACTCATCTTCAATTTGTTTAAAACATAGTGTCATGCAGTTTAATGTAGTTCATGGATTACATTGGTCCATAGTGAAACTAGCCAAATTTAAACTGAGTATAGAGCCCAATTGTGACCGATGATATTGAGACAGCTACTCTATCTCATATGTTTTGTTCAAATTAAAGGATTTCTGGCCGCTAATATTTAAATTTCTCTCGCACGCATTAAATACCTATAGAGTACCTGAGGCCATAATTCTAATTTTTGGTTTCACATCACAGTCCTTAAAAATTTCCTCCAACCTTTAAGCAATGGCTTATGGAACTCCTACACCACCTGACCATAGAAAAAATTGGATATACTGTAATAGGCTGTACTGATATGTTTTTTTCAAATGAAGATATCTTGAAGAAAGGTGGGAAAATGTATCCATTGATATCCATAGGATTTGTTTTTTCTACCATGGAAGTCTATGGTTACAGGTTTTCGGCTTTCTTTATTATACATAAAACAAATATATTGAAAATAGCATTCAAAATGCGTAATACATATTTATAGTTACTAGTTATTTAGTTATTAGTAGGGTGAGACCAGATCTGCGGACATTGTTTACTATTTCTGCACAGAATTTTAAAAATCTGCAGATTTACAGTATGCGGATTATACCTTTTATACCTTTTCACCACCTGACCATAGAAAAGATTTGATATACTGTAAGAGGCTGTACTGATATGTTTTTCTCATCTGGCAACCTGTTTTAGATCACATAAATAAGATTGACCCATCAGTTCTTTTAGAAGAGTAAAACCTTTTCTTGTTATTTTATTTTTATTTTCTTTCCTTAAATATGAGAGTAAAATATGTATTTTTTATATTATTATTAATTTGTGTTTTATTTTAATATTATTAATATATTTTTATGAGAAATGGTCTGGGCTATATTTACAGCAGGGCCGACAAGTGCACTTTGTCTTCCTCAAGGTCTTATCTGCTCAAAATAACAAACGCAGACCTCAGAATGGCTCTTGAAAGCATTACTATACCCAGGTCTCATGTTTACCCTCATTGCTCCACCCACAGCTACATACCCCGCTGCTTATGGATTGGTCGGTCAACCGTTCCCACATCAGCCCACCTTGGTTGCCCAGCAACCCCAACAGCCGCAGCAGCTGCAACAACGAGAAGGTAGCCACGTCATTTCCCCTTTCCCACCGACTACCACAACCATCGACATCCTGTTTTTGATTATTCCCCAGTCTATTATTGAACATGTCATTGTTCTCCGCTGAATCTCATACTGCGACATAATCCCTTTCAGGATTTAGCAGGATTAATTCCTTTTTTGATAAAAAAAATTCAGATCAAATCTATCTATGTATGGAAATATCTCATTTCTCTTCTCTCTTTCTCCAGGACCAGAGGGCTGCAATATCTTTATTTATCATCTGCCGCAGGAGTTCACTGACTCGGAGATGCTGCAGATGTTTCTGCCCTTCGGTAACGTCATCTCAGCCAAGGTGTTCGTTGACCGCGCCACCAATCAGAGCAAATGCTTTGGTGAGTGATTTCGACAGGCTCGAATAAATATATGATGAAATTGTAACATTTTAAGGTACGTTACAATAAATAACGGCCATTAAATTGGACATATTATGCAGAAATCAGTTTTATAAGGGGTTGTGTGGCAACAGTGTGCGAATAAAACCAGCTTCTAATGGTTAATATGTATTAATTTGATATTTTTTTGTAATCACGCTTAATAAAAGCAGTCTGCAGAAACACTCTGATCGACATTCTCCCTTTATACTTGTCATCAGATGGGGAAAGCCCCGCCCATTAGCAATGATCTCACCCTCATTAGCATAAGATGTTAGTCTTGTTTATGAATGCTGACACATAGGTGTTTGTAGCTCCGCCCTCTTTTAAAAAGAGCACAATCTCATTTGAATTTAAAGCGACAGTCACCAAAAGGGCACAATTTGGATCAAAGCCTAAAAGGGGCAGTTTTAAAGAGTTATAAAACATTATTTGTGGGGTATTATGAGCTGAAACGTCACACACACACTCTTGAGACATCAGAGACTCGTTTTATATCTTGTAAAAAGTGGAACATTTTAATTCATACTAGAATCATGCTAACCACATGTTAATTTATTGTAGAAATAAAGTAACAACACGCCAATTCATACTAGAATGATGTTAACATGCTAATTCATGCTAGACACATGCTAGCAAATTTGCAAACTTATACTTGAATCATGTTAACAACATCTAATTTATGCTAGTAGAAACATACTAATTCATGCTAGTAAATATGCAAACTCATACTAGAATCATGCTAACATGTTAATTCATACTAGAAACATGCTAATTCATACAAAAATTGTCAACAACATGTTTATGCTAAAAAACATGCCAGTAAATATACAAATTCACACTAGAACCTTGCTAACAACATGTTAATTCATACTAGAAACATGCTAAACAATGCTAAAAACATGCTCGCAAATATGCAAATTCATACTAAAACCATGCATACCACGTTAATTCGTACTAAAAACATGCTAACTACATGCTAATTCACACTAGAAACATGCTAGTAAATATGCAAATTCATACTTGAATCATGCTTACCACATGTTAATTCATACTGAAAACATGCTTACAACATGCTAATTCATGCTAAAAAAACACGCTAGCAAATATGCAGATTCATACTAGAATCATGTTAACATGCTAATTCATACTAGAATCATACTTACCACATTAATTTATACTAGAAACATGTTAACAACATGCTAATTTATGCTAGAAACATGATAGTTTATATGCAAATGCATATCAAAATCATGCTTACCACATGTTAATTCATACTAGAATCATGTAAAAATGCTAATTCATGCTAGAAACATGTTAGCAAATATGCAAGTTCATACAAGAATAATGTTAGCAAATATGCAAATTCATAATGACATCATGCTAACTATGTTCATTCATACTAGAAACATGTTAACAACATGCTAATTCATGCTAGAAACATGCTTGTAAATTTGCTAATTCACTCTAGAATCATGCTAACAACATGTTAATTCATACTTGAAACATGCTAACATGCTAATTCCTATTAAAATTACATAATTCATGTCAAAACAATATTAACAACATGCTATTTCATGTTAAAACATGCTAAGTAATGCTTGAAACATGCTAATAACATGCCTTTCTCAAGCCACCATAAAATTAGTTTTCAAACATTATTATCTAGTGGTATATCATTTTTTATAGACTTTATTTATTGAAAAACATTGAATAATAATTTCACCATATATTTATATTCTCTCCTTTTATAATCTCTCCATGGCTGTAAGCAGAAGTTTGTCATCAAGTGACCAGGCGATCATCAATGCCTCACTCACACAAACCTTTTCGTCTTCTCGTTTGTTTCTCGTTGCTGGTCATGTCCTTCATGTCGCAGGTTTTGTAAGCTTCGACAACCCGGCGAGCGCACAGGCCGCCATCCAGGCCATGAACGGCTTTCAGATCGGCATGAAGAGGCTCAAAGTGCAGCTGAAGAGGCCTAAAGACGCCAACCGTCCATACTGAGACCAACAGGTGAGCAATAAATCTCACCGTATTTCTAAACTAAGCAGTTTTTGACTATTTAACATGTGTAACCACTGCTCTAATGATGTGTTATTTAAATACTTGAATAAACCTAAATAAAATCAGCATTTAAGAAAGAAAAAGAAAAGAAACGTAGTGGAAAAGGAAAAGAATAAGCACTCATTAATTTTTACTTTCATTTATTGTTTTTGTGCTGTGTCATTGTCCACTCTCCTGCCAAAAAAACCCGATCAAACAAACAAACACAAGCTCATCCACACCAAGGCTGCCCCGTCCAATCATAACTCGTGCGGAGACCACGTCGCTATGGCTACGGTGGCCTAGCAACCAATAAGCTCCCCCTTCCTCCCACAGCGTTGGTTTGTAAGTTGATTGGCCTGTGTTGGTTGCTGTGGCCATATATTCCTGCCTGTGATGGTTGCCATTAGCAGTTTTGTTTTTTGGCCCTTTGTCATGTATCCTCCATGCTGAGAGTGCATGGCGGGTGACCGTGGTGACTATGGACTGTGTTTGGTGCGTTGTGACTCTCTCTCTCTTTTTGTTTTACACATACTGATCAATAACTGACACTGCACATCTGTGATTCTTTACCCTCAACCGTAGACAATGGAGTTACTCCAACTCAATTGACCCCTATTCAACTCTAATCAACCAGCTCAATGTGCTGCTTTTGGGTGGACTTTGTTTTTGATCAGTCTCCTCTGTGTTTTGTTTGGTCATGACTCTATTTCTTACACAAAGTACTCCCATATGTAGTCTGGTGCTGTTCTAGTTACTGTGAATGTGGGGTGGGTTTGTATTTGATTCCAAGAGAGTTTGTGCTAGTGGGTATGCTGTTTCGTGCCAACGAGTGAGCTTGTGTGTACGTGCTTGCGTGAATGAGTGGTGCGAAGCAATCGTGCGTTTGAGCGTGAGAGTGAGCGAGAGGTAGGGAACTCATTCATTATATCTCTCAAACCTCTCACGCTGAGGTTTGAGGTGACACTCTGTGGTTGTTTTGGTGACAAAAGTGACGCATTGTGCCGACCAAAGAACAGCATTCCTCTGTAGGAATTCTGGGTTCTTTTAGGAGAACCTGTAGACAAACTTGCTCTTCAACAGCTCATTCATTCGTTTGAGCAGTCCAAAACACTTAATCTGATATATAAGTCAACCTCTGAACAGCCCAGAATTCCTATGGTGCATGTTGGAAATTTGTTTGCCTGCCAGAAATGTCCCCCCCTCCCACTTTAAACGATCACTAACACAGAAATATACACACTTGCATTAAAAACCCCATTCACTGACTCACAATGTAGGTTGCATGGAAGTATAGAATGGTAAGCTTTAGATAACCTTCCCAAATGCACAGTAGTGTTTGAGGGATAGTTCACCCCAAAATGAAAAAGCGCCATCATTTACTTGCCCTCATGTTCGTTCTGAACCCCAAACGTGTTTAAGAACACAACTGACGATGTCTCCAATCAAATCTCTGGTGTTTCTGTTCCTCTGTTGAAAGACTGTTCGCCTACAAAGTCACAGTTCAAAGATAAATCATCCAAGTCGTCTCGAGAAAAACAATGGCTTAACCACTCCTGTTAACCTCTATTGCGTCAGCTTGATGTCACCACTTATATGCAGAATATAGGTTTCTGTAAAGTAGGTTATCTCTTTTGTCGAATAGCACAGGAGATCTCTTGGATAATAGGAGGGTTAAATACTTTGATAAGCAAATATAAACCAAGCTCAATCTTACCTACTTGGTGTAAGAATAAATCTCATTGGTTCTTGGTCAGAGCCCCGGACATGACATCAGTGTTAAAAATTGTGGGCACGATTTATTTATTCATTGCCTTGTTTTACTAAAGTGTGCGCACAATTTATTAAAGCGTTCCTTCATTTTAAGTAAATTGTACACACAATTTATTGTTTCGTTTATTCGATTTCCTAGAGCGTGCACACAATTGAGTTAATTCTAGGTAAATCATGATTTTTTTATTCATTCTCTTGATAAAAATTATTTATAGGACTTACTACAATTTTTAAGGGAAGTGGTTACAAACCATTTATATCACATTATATATAAAATTACTAAATTTAATGTTTAAATTCAGCCCACATAAATGGTTTTCAATCACTTACCCTAAAAAATGTGGTAAATCCAGTGAATCGTTTTTCTCAGTGTATCGTTTTTCAGTGTATCGAATCATTTTTCATTTACCAGTGATGAATTGCGGCTGGAAGGGCATCTGCTGCATAAAAACGAGCTGGATAAGTTGGCGGTTCATTCCACTGTTGCGACCCCAGATTAATAAAGAGACTAAGCCGAAAAGAAAATGAATAAATTAATCGTTTTTCAGTGTTTTTTTTTTTTCAATTTATTTATTCGCTGCTCTATTTTAAGTAAATTGTGCACCCAATTTATTAATTCGTTCATTCGATTTCCTAGAGATTGCACATAATTTAATGCATTCCCTCATTTTAAGTAAATCATTTTAATTAGTTTTTTTGTTCATTCGTTAAAATTTCTTGATTTAATGTTACTTATTTTTACTAATTCATTCCCTCCTTCTGGGTAAATCACGATTTATTTATTTGTTCTCTTGTTAAAAATAATTAATTAATTGGATTTACTACAATTTTTAAGGTAAGTGGTTGCAAACCATTTTTATCTTTTGAACATTGCTAAATTTAATTTTAAATTTATTTAATCTGTAAATTTAATTTTTAATTTATTTAATCTGTAAATTTAATTTTAAATTTGTTGCAATTCAGCCCATATAAATGGTTTTCAATCACTTGCCTTAAAAAATGTAGTAAATCCAGTGAATCGTTTTTCTCAGTGTATCGAATCGTTTTTCACTGTTTACTTCCAATTTATTTGCCTTATTTTAAGTAAATTGTGCACAATTTATTTATTCATTCACTTGATATACTAAAGCTTGCACACAATTGATTAATTCATTCAATCATTCTAGGTAAATAATGCAACCTAAATGAATAGTTATACTTCATGTCCACACACGTCTTCTCAGAATTCTCATGTTTTGTAAAGTAATGATGATAGCTATATTTTTGTCAATCCTGTTTGAGCCTGTTCACAAAAAAGCCGGTAGCCTGAAGATGAATAAATCAAAAACCCAGATAAAAGTCCAGTTCCTGGAGGGCAGCAGCCCTGGGGAGTTTAGTTCTTACCTGAAGGTAAACAAGCCCAAAGGACTCAATTAGTTTGATCAGGTGTGTTTAATAATCCTTCAGGAACTGGATTTGACACCTGTGACTTAAAACAAGGGAATGAATCGTGCACACAACTCCGAGGCAATGAATTAATAAAACAGTTTAGTGCCGTGTTTCTCAACCATGTTTCCATAGGACAACCAGCACTGCACATTTTTTCCATGTGTTCTTAACCAAACACACCTGATTCAGATCATCAGCTCATTAGCTGAGACTGAAAGGCCTGTAATGAGTGTGACAGATAAAGGAGACATCCTAAACATGCAGTATTGGTGGTCCTCCAGTAACGTGGTTGAGAAACACTGGACCGTCTTGCACATTTTGTATGTCTCTCTTATTTGACACACAAGCATCAGTTCATGGATCTCTGTTAACAAGCTGATGATCTGAATCAGGTGTGTTAAGTAAGGAAAACACAAAATGCGCAGGGCGGGGGTCACTACTCTAGTAAACCAAAGAAAACGTTTAATAAATCGTGGCCACGTGCCTTGTGTGGGGTTCCATAAGCTGAAAATAGTGCTGAAGGGACGCATTTGTGTCAATACATTTGAAAAGCTATTCGCTAATCTGTGCGAACAAATTACATCTGATCACATGGAGTGAAGATTCGTATTTTGACCAGCCTGATCTCACGAGTAAACGTGAGTATTTTACGTTTTGTCAGTTTAGTGGCTAATTTGTACGAGTTTAGTCGTATAAAAATGTACGATTTCAAAAACGAGTCGTGGCACTAAACCCCGCCCCTAAACTCAACCATCATTGGTGACAAGCAAATCGTACTCAGTTGTACGAATAAGATTGTACGAATTCATACCAATTAGCCAGGGAATATAAAAATCACGAATTGCCGTGAGATTGTGTTGGTTTGACGTGTATGGATTCATTCTGTGATCTACTTGGGTAAATAGTCTTTCGGTGGCGGGATGGAAAATTTTTATGGATTTGATTCATATTTAGTTTCCCAAGATGAACAAATTTCTTCGGAACGGCGTGAGGACGAGTAAACGAAGAGCGAATGTTGATTCTGAGGTGAACTAACCCTTTAACGTTGTGAAAGACGTAGGAGTGTTTTCGCTGGCCCGTGTGATTTTTGTGCTAACTGCTCTTTTTTTTCGATTTCTTTCTCTCTCGCAGGGAAGACAGGAGAGGACTAACGGAGTCAGTTACGAGTCACTTTTCCTCCGCTGCAAATAACGGGACCAACAACTTTTCGCAAAACTACAGTATAAAAAAAACCTACCGAGATTATTTAAAGGAAAAATATACATGTAATAACAAAGACAGACTTATTGCACAAGGTGCAGGTTAAATAGAAGGATTTACTACCTTAACAGTATACGATATAGGACCAATCTGCACCGCAGCGCCACTCGCTCTTCTGCTTCACACACTGTCGTGCCGTGTGCTTGTGGGTCGTCATCTTTCTGCCCTCGGCCTGCACATCTACGCACTACACACACACACATAAATGGGACCAACGCAAATGTGTCAGTACTACACGAATTTTGCTTCTGGGTTCAAAAGAACTACTGACTATCAAAGTCTTTCTGCAGCAATCTAAAAATGTGTATATAGAAATTTGAGGGGATCATGTTGTAGACATATCGAAACGGTTCGGGAGGGTGGGACTGGGTCAACGTGATCAGAGCAAAGAAATCATGGTAGATAGAGAAAAGAATATCCTTTGGGGAGTTTTGAAGGAGTTTGCTCTCGGTCTCTAATCTGAGTCCAGTTATACATAGTTCTTCATCTTTAATACTTACGGAAACAAAAAGACCTGTGTGGGGTATAGGATGCCGGTCCTATGTTGCAATCCTCCCTAAAATGACTGAATATAGTTTATCACAGAGAAGCTGTAGTTAGAGGTTTTTTTTTTGTTTGTTTTGTTTTTTAGCTTTGTTAGTTTTTCGTTCATTTTTTTAACAAAACAAAAAAAAAATTGTGGATGATTCGAGAAGATTCATGAAAGGTAAAAACATTAAAAATGTATTTCATTGTAAATATCATGCTTTTAAAATGAAGGTCAAGATTTAAACATTTGGGATATTATTATTATTATTGCTATTATTATTATTATTATTTAGGGAAAGTAATTTCTATCTTTTTTTGCAATTAATTTATTAATTTCTTGATGGAGGGCATTTTTTAAATTATTTATGAAGATAGCGGATCATTGGCACGTCTGATGAATCCATGTATTTTTAGACATTTTATTTACAGATTTACCATTAATGAACAATCATTATTATTATTATTCTATTTATTTTCTTCAACTGTTGTTTCACAACCTGTCAATTACAAAAAAAATTTGAATAAAATTTTAAACAATATTGTGTGTCTGTGTGAGATTACTGGAGTAAATGTATTTGTGCTATTTTCAGATGCATTAAAGTATGAATGAAGCACTGTGACTCTGTAGATCGGCACTGGTGGGAGCCGTGCACTGCTCAAGGCCAGTGATGATATACAGCTATATCGCACTGCTTCTCGTGTGATATTGTGTTTATACAACAGTTCGACAGCATCATCATGTATAAAAAAAAAGAAAATCGAACACGGAGAGTCTCAAAAATCCTTTTGTTAGAGGAACTACTTTCTTCCACTGTTCATTCACAACTAAGGCTGACGTCAGAACAGCAGAAACCATTGCTCATAATCAAACGTCACTTTAGAGCTAGTATTTGAATGATTCTCTAGAGTAAAGTGATGACAAAACAGGTGATCTTGCTCACATTTTAAGATTATAAGGCTGAACGGCATGAAATGCCATCAGTCTACAGAGATTTCACACTATTTCTTTTTTGCAATTGGAAGATCACTATACAGTAAGTAACTGCGTTTAAAAAAAGCCTACAAGAACTACGAAATACTACGAGATTACTGTGTTATAAACACAGCACTAAAACACGCAAAAGAGAGAGATCGACTTACCTTTTTTTATCATAAAATGATCAGCTGTAGATTGAAATTCACTGAGATTTTTGTTTCCCCTAAAAGCTTATTATGAAGTCTCTGTCGACATCTTGTGGCGGAACGCCAACCGTCTTCACTTTGCTGAAGAGCTGATTGCCGCCAACATGCTAAATATTTAAAATTGGCACTATCCTTATAAATAAAATGCATAGTTGCACTATGCCCCAAAAGTACATTATGTTGTCCAACAGCTGCTATATTTGTCAAACTGTTTATTGATCTGCTGTTTATTGATCTGCTGATGTGGGCGGAGTAATACACAAGGGTGATGAGGCTAAATGAGTGCTGTTATTGTAGACTATTGCATGACTATCAGCCAGTCAGATTCAAGAACCTCCTCCCGGTGGGACTTGCCTGGAACACCTCCCTAGGTAGGCGTCCAGGAGGCATCCGAAACATGCCTGAGCCACCTCAGCTGACTTCTCTCGATGTGGAGGAGCAGCGGCTCAACTACGAGCACCTCCCGGTCTATAGGGGGCACCCTGCCGCCCTTCAAAGGAATCTCATTTTGGCTGCTTGTACCTGAGATCTTGTCCTTGTGGTCATCACCCAAAGCTCATGACCATCGGTGAGAGTAGGAACATAGATTGACCGCTAACCTTTCGGCTAAGCTTTGTCTTTACCTCAACGGATCGGTACATGAACCACATTACTGCTGCGGCTGCACCAATCCGTCTGTCAATCTCACGTTCCATCCTTCCCTCACTCGTGAACAAAACCCCAAGATATTTGAACTGGTCCATCTGGGTTGAAGACTTTTCTCCAACCTGGAGGAGGAATATAAACAGATGTTTTAAAATAATGGTAACAAATACTTTGTGAATTTATGTGTTGAGTTTTTACAGCAAATGTCACATCCATATCAGTGGAATGGCTCTCTATATGAATCCAGAACTCAATTACAATTGCGTCATGAGTGCGTTGTTAAAGGGATAGTTCACCCAAAAATGAAAATTCTGTTATTATTATATAACTCAACCTTCACTAGTCACAAACCTCTTCGAGTTTCTTTTTTTCTGTTAAACACAAAAGAATTATTTAGATAACATGTTGGAAACCTGTAAGCTTTGACTTCCATATTTGTTTTTTCTACTATGGAAGTCAATGGTTACAGGTTTCCAACAGTCTTCTTTTGTGCTCAACAGAAAAAGGAAACTTGTAAAGGTATTGAACCACATGAGGGAGAGTAAATATTAAGTAAAGGTGAATTTGGATAATCTGGGACACCTAAGCTTCTGTGTGTTTCTTTCTGTTTTAACTAAACTCAGTTAACAGGACTTTTATTATAAATTAAACATGGACTTCATATGAGTGAAATCACATGACTTCATTAAGGGGGTTCCACAAAGTGGGGCCAGGCACTTGTCAATCAAGGTCTCATGAAAATTAGATGACATGGTCAATGACATGCTGTAGGATTCTGACTGGATTCATGTTAAGGACACAAACCTGTCACACGTTAGACGATGTTCCGAATTGTTGTCAAATTTTGTTTGGGATCTAGTTATGGAACCCAATCAATGCCAAAAGCATTAAAATAAAAAGCTTATCGAAAAGCACAAACTCAAAAAAATAATACATTGAATTAACAAATGCTTGCATTTTAATGACTTGCATTGGCAGGGTTTGTGATTTTAGGTCCTAAAATTTAACACAGCTAAATATATTTGAGCTAAAGATATTTCAAACACATTTTCATGCTTAAAAATGTAAGAATTCTTGTTCAATTTCCAGATTTCATGTATAATATTCAAAAGAAAATTTTCATTTCACTTTATTTCTGTAAAAAAATTTGCTTCCATGAATTCAGTGGATCAAATTCGGCTGTTAAAATTTGACATTTACAATAATAAATGCTACTGTTGTGCTGTTATTAGCTTTTTTCCTCACTTATTTACTGGTTTAAACATCTCAAATTGGCCCACCTGCTAGTGAAAAAGCAGCTGGAGATTGTCAATCTGCAATCTATTGCTTTTCCTGCAGTTCATGGATGTAATGTCAAATTTTAGGAGCCGAAATTTATCCTCTGAATTTATGGAAGCAAATTTTTTAACTGAAATAACATAAACTGAAAATTACCTTTTGAACATTATGCTTCGTATTTTTCACCCCTACTGAATATTTTGTAAGTGAAATCTGGAAATTGAACAAGAATTATTGAATTTTTAAGTATGAAAACGTGTTTGAAATATTTTTAGTTGAAATATTCACAGCTTAAATAAACAGCTGTGTTAAATTTCAGAACCTAAAATTACAAACCCTAGCAGCTCATTAAAATGCAAGCAGTTGTTAATTCAATGTATTATTATTATTTTTTTAGTTTGTGCTACTCAATAATCTTTTTATTTCAATACTTTGGACATTAATTTAGTTCCATACCTAGTCAAGTAACAAAATGTGTATTAAAGTGTTGCTGTTTTTTTATTTCGAACATTTTTTGTTGTCCCACATCATCAGATAGGATTGATAATGTGTGACTGTCTTCGAATGGGAGAAATAGGCATTTAGAAACTTTATAAGTTTAACGACAAGGGCTAATATATGCCATAATGAGAAATGGATGTTAATGTGGACAACTGGAGGTAATAAATATAGCATAAATTGATAACAGCTAGAAGCTAAACCAGCTAGCTAAAGAGATGCTACAGAGATGTACAATGTTCTGTACACAAACTCACACACTTCTCGGTATATTTATGTCATGTTTATGTCTATATTATGTGGTAAGTACGAAAACATTTTAGGGATTTCAGAGAAGTCTAATACGTTGTACTATTTACCTTAGTCAGGCATTGAAATAGAGAGCTGAAGTCAAAATTGCAAAAAGTGAAGTGTCCCAGATTACCTGAATTCACCCTACATTTTTCACTTTTGGGTGAACTATCCCTTTAAAACCCAGTTATACTTCTTCAGGTATTATATCTTAAACATCGTTTGTTCACCATGGACGTCACCCCTATTCACTTACAGCGGTCATTTACACAGTCAACAAAGCTTCCTCAAAGGTTTCGTCATCCATAAAACGTCATAACTCGCATGCGGTTAAACGTCACCTTAAATAGCCTGCGCCCCGCCCTTCAGATTTTAGTCTCGCACAGCAGCTCAGTGTTTTTTATTTGGCCCTCCTCTTCAGTCTTTCATGACTCGATTCGCCTCCAAACACACCCGGCAAAAGTACGTCTAGACATTTTCAACTCGGACATGTGAAGCGAAAAGTGTCGGGAAAAGTTTATAATCTGGGCTGTGTGGATGAAAACTAAAAGCATACGGTTAAAAGCAGCAGTGAACGAGGCGGAGGACAAACAAAAAAAAGTGGAAGAGTTTTAACGTCATCTCTAACGCCAAACTTCCCTTGGCGTTTTTCATCTGTCACGGGGATTTAAGACAACGATGCAGACGGAAAGGGTTATGGATTATGAAGAACGCACAAAATTGTACAGATTGCCCTGAATAACCGCGAGTTTACACGCACTTTCATGCACCTTTGCTAAACCCATCTCATCTCATCTCGCGCTCACACCCTTGTGCTTCGCACTACTCCTGAAAGTAAGTACCGTTATACGCAGCCGTGCTCGTTCCTGCACCTCAGTGTGTTGTTGTACTGTCACTTCCTTATAGCGTGTTATCATATACTCGTATTTCTTGAATTTTTGAAGTGTTGATTTGTTTTGTATCGAACGGGCGCTTCTGGAAGTCAGCTGTTTGATGTGTACGGCCTACACTGGGATCAGCCGACTGGAAGTAACGTTACATACTAACATTTCGTAGCGCGCGTGATGTGAAGTATGCACTGTTGTGATTATGACACGGCTACGAACAAATATCCACAATAACTTGTTATTGATGTTAGGTATACGCCAAGACCCATCGAGAATTAAGAAAAAAGTGTCAATGTTTTCACTCCAGTGGTTTTTAGGGGCGGGTTCCGTGTTTGAAAGCGGCTCGCGGATGTTTTAGTCGAGTGAAAATTTGGGGATTCGTTTTTGTAGTTGATCGTGTGCAGACAACCAGTCTAGCAAAGCTTATTATTTACAGTTCCAGCTGTTTTGACGCTAAAAGACGACGGTTCTCAAAGTAATTTAATGTAAACTGTTGTTTTAAAAGACTAACTTTTCTTGTATGTACTTTTGTATATACACAACGTTGAAACGGGTGGATATTTAATTTACTCAGTGTATCGCTGTAAACACAATTTACCAACTTGTGATTGTCGTCTCGTGTTATGCTCGAGGGCTTTTGAAGGGAGTCTTATGTGACGTCATGAAGTATATAGTGTATAACGTGCTAAAAACTTGTGGATCTCAGACCGTCTATTTTCTCGGTTAGCCAGGATCGTTTTTAACAGCAATAGAACATTGTTATAATGTTAGCCAAATGTCCGCCTAACCTCTGTAATGTTGTATCATTTGCCCTGCTGCAGGGCAGTATAAATGTGTATGTATTTACAATTAACCAAGGCCAGCCCTGTACATTTGGGGGCCCTAAGCAGAATAATTTTGGGGTCCTACCTTGCTCAAAATAGTGAAGTTTTTCCATTGCAAACCGGCCCACAGTGATTTTATTGCTTATTAAATGCAATCAATGAAACAGAAATGTAAAGTCTGATTTTTTCCTACTTAATAATTGACTGAATGACTTGGACATTTTAAAACGACACTGTTTTTGTTAACTACCAGCTTCCTAAATGAAGAATTTAACAGTATTTAATAAAGGGACCTACTTTGTGTCTTTCTGAAGATTATGTAATTGGAAGATTTTATAAAAGATTCTAGGTTGAGTTATTTATATATATATATATATATATATATATATATATATATATATATATATATATATATATATATATATATGTGTGTGTGTGTGTGTGTTTTAATTCCAAAAGCAAAAACCCTTTATTGACACTACACTGGACAATAATTCTAAATAATTTTGTGCCTGTCTCTTCTCGTCGCCATTTTTTCCCTCAGTTTTTCAATGCCTGAAGAATAACGTTAGATTTTCATTTTCGGTCTCCAAAATAAATCGGGTATATAATAGGGCAGGCAGTGAAGCAGAGGGCATGGCTGTGTCTGTGCACTTATTCGCGTTTTTGTGGTTACATTGAACGTGCAAACTCAAACTGCTAGACTTTTATTAAAATCATGATTTTTCTCTTCATTAAAAAATGTATAAATATTGAATTACTAAAGCACTGTCAATGAAGGATATATGCGTTGTACTGTGGCAGAAACGGTGTGCTGGAGAATGATTTCCAGATAACATGTGCTTAATGAAAAAACCCCCTGAACAAACGCATATTTATGATTCAGGTTTAGAATCCTGTTCACTTTATTTAACCCTGGTTTAATAATTAAGGGGACAGGGATGATTTCGGAAGCAGCTTGAACTTTTGTACACACATAAGGTTCAAATGTACTACCTACTCGAGTAGCATGTGATTTTAGACACAGCTACTGTCTTTTAGTCCAGCATTATTGGCTTGATGGTCAGTTACTTGCACATGCCTAGAGGGAACATCTAATACACTTGCCCATGATGATGTCATCATGATAATAATGAAAGTTTGGCAAAGCTGGCGTTTTCAGGACTCCAAAACACAATTGCCGTATAAAGTGAATGATCTAAAATGATCTAGCTTTTATTTTTATTTAAAATGCAAAGACACCTTCATAGTTTAAGTCCCACCTCTGTCCTTTTGAGTGCATCATGCACATCAGACATCCAATCAACAACTGACACTTAACCTAGTCACCCTATAAATATTTATATATTTTTATTATATTCAACAATCCATTTAATATTTAACGGTCTGTTGTACTCATATGAAGACCAATATTCAATATTTTGTGATAATGAACACCCATAATATTGATATCTTTAGCATTTCAAAATAATGTGACTTTTCGTTTTACAAATGTTTTATTAGTTAAACGTTGAGTGCTTACTTAAATTGTGTTTGCAGTGGTGTTCATAATAGCTCCAAATGCTTAGAGACTTAATTGATCGACTTACCTTAAGTTTAACTTAATTAAACATACTCAATAAAATGAACAACTAATAAAATCCAGTGTATTTTTAATGAATAATTAACACTAACTAATACATCTGGCCTTACCTTACTGTTCATTTTAACCTATTGACTAACGTTCACTTATGAGACTTTATTGTAAAGTATTGCCTAATGTATTTTTTTGCTATTTAATATAATTTTAATATCTATTTACTTTAAGCATGGTTAATTGTACAATAAAGCAGTTAACTATGTATTTTTCTTTAGTTAGTTATTATACAAGTTAAATTGATTTATTTATTCATTTATTTTTTGTAGTTTAGGTAGGGCTGGGCGATTTAATCAAAAAATAATCGAAATCGACATTCAGAACCTAAAATTGCAGCAAAAAAAAAAAAAAAAAGAAAAGAAATCCAGATCAATTTTTTTTTCAATAACTTTCCCTACTGCATGTAGAGACGCATGACCCCGCTCTGCTAAGACTGATTTATACTTGCGCACTTTTGTATGGTCTGGTGCAGCCTTCCTGCATGCCTCTTGAAAAACACCTTGCGAAAAATGTAACTACATGTTGCACGTTTGCCTCACGTTGACGATGATTAGAAGCTGCGCCAGAGATGCCATGAGACGGCATATTTTCTATTGCAATAAAATAATTATTTACATAAAAATAGTTGTTTACAGAAGATTTAAGAAATTCGGCTTAAGAGTTATTTTATTTAGAAGAGATACTGCGTATTTCTATGTTTGAAAACATTGAAAATCAATAAGGTATTTGTTTTCACCTTTTTATAAGGAAATAAAATTGACTGGTTTTAGGCTCTGTGTTTTAATTTTAGTTGTTCAACATTGATATTCAATAAATAATCATAGACAGTAGATAGTGTATGTTTTCTTTAATTATTTTAAAATCAAGTAATGCTCCATTCAAAAGTCTCTTATTTGTAATTTGTGAGCATATTTCCTGTACAAAACCTGTCAGTGAACTATGAAAAACAAAAAACAAATAAAATAATCGTTCATTAATCGTAATCGAGTTAAAATGTTCAGTTAATCGAGATTTTGATTCTAGGCCAAGCCGCATAACCCAAAGTTTAAGTCAATATTGTGATAAAACCGTGATAATAGCATCAACAATTAATCTCAAAACAAAAAAATTAGCTCCGTAAACAGCTTGCGTAATTTATAAATTAAGTTAGATCATGATTAATTTAGTTTAGTAAGTTACAATGACTTAAAAACATATGCTGTCATGACTGACTGTACCGTGGTTTCCGGCTTTTCTCTTGATAAATTAAAATGTCTGGAGGTTATGAATATCAGAAGAATATACCTTATTGGAATATTTTACAAAAAAGCAGAGACATCCTGGAGCAAACACTTGTCCCTTAAAAGTCACGTCTCGCCTTCAGTTTCGGGCTCGGGTGCATTTTGCACTCGCACACAAGCGCACCGCGCCAATGCCCAAGTGATCCGCGCTCTGGCACACCTCTTCCTACCGGGCCAGGGCCGGCCAAGTGAACCGTGCCTGAGCCCGATTCAGAGCACTCACACTTCTCAAACAATCCGGCAAACGGGCCTGGGCACGGTTCAGATAGCATAGTATGAGTAATGTAATGTGTGTTTATGTAGTGCATTTATTGTGTATGGCCATACACCCAAACCGCTTCACAATCATAAGGGGGGGGATCTCTCCACACCACCACCAGTGTGCAGCATCCACTTGGCTGATGCTACTGCAGCCACAGGATGCCGGCGCCCATGGCGCTCACCACACACCAGCTATTGGTGGAGTGGAGAGACAGTGATAGAGCCAGTTCCGTGGAAGGGAATGATTGAGAGGCCATGATCGTAAGGGACTTTGGCCAGGACACCGGGGTTACACCCCTGCTCTTTCACGAGAAGTGCCATGGGATTTTTAATGACCACAGAGAGGACCTCGGTTTAACATCTCATCAGAAAGACGGCGCCCACTGACAGTGTAGTGTCCCGTCTACTTTTACTGGGGCATTAGGACTCACTCAGACCACAGGTTGAGTGCCCCCTGCTGGCCTCACTAACACCACCTCCAACAGCAACCTAGTGTTCCCTAGTGGTCTCCCATCCAGGTACTGACCAGGCTCAGCCCTGCTGAGCTTCAGCGAGTAACCGGTCTTGGGCTGCAGGATGATATGGCTGTGGCGCTCAGGGCTGTAGGCCCTCAGTCTCTCCCCAGGACAAATTCGTTGTCCTCCAAATTTGATCTTTTATCCTTGATTATACCTACCTTTGTGTTGTCACAACTAGTACCTGAATCAACAAGCATCTCCCAGCTCCTATTACTTTACAACCCCGATTTAAAGCCCCCCTCTTTTGGTCCTTATAATGAACATGTCTAATGCATTTACTACTGTTTTTACACATAGTTTAAGTTTTGCACTCATGACTAATATCTATGTTTCAAACATCTAAACTGGACTCTTCTCTCCCATACAGTATGTGTCTTTTCAAATATACATGACAGTTTCAACATGTTTTTCTGGCACAGATGGTTCTC